TAGGTCCAATAACATTTGCATTAAATGTAGCAAATATTTATGTGGAAAATACGCATCCAAAATAGAGTTTACATGTAAAAAATTTTTTGAAAACAACTGTAAATAAAAACTGTTAATTTAAAATGAAAAGACTTACAAAAATTTGTCTTTAAATTCACTCGTCAAAAAGACCGACTTCAGTAAAAATAGGTATACAGTAGGCTTTTTTTATATCACTGCGGAAAAAATCAGTCCTTCTCTAACTTTGAATCATAAAATTAATATAAATGTAATTCACAAACATGAATAAGGTAATATTAATATATACACATTACATTTATTAAAAAATATTGGGTATAATCGGAAAGTAATCGATGCAGCATCGATGTATAATAATGTAAAAATCCTGTACGAAAATATATCAATACGGTAATACTTTAAAATTTGGTGTCCAAAAATGTCAAAAAACGCATCATATGCGCATCATATTATATCAGCTGAGCATAAATTTTTTGTGGTTTTGTATTGATGCAAAGTTTTTTAAATGAAAGCTGAGAAGCAAATAATTTATTGTTTTAACTAAATAACTAATAAAGTTAATTATTTCTTTATGCACGGTATTAATATTTCTAAATGTTCCATTATATTAATATCTCCAAAACTTCATTAAAAAAAAATTTAATAGATTTTCAGTTGTTAATAATTTTAATACTTTTACACAAAACCATCAAAATAAATACAAAAAAAAACATAATTTAAAAAACGTCAAAGATATTTCTGAAGTTTTGGTGGAATTGCTTGACAGGTTCGAGTGGCTCCCATACAAGTCCAAAAGCTAATTTTAAATATTTGGAAAAATAATAAAGTCACATTCCGTGTCAGATATCCGTGAAGTTTCTACAGAATGGTTTTACAGGTTATAGAATGGTTTCACAGGTTTGAGTAATTGCTATACAACAACGAAAGGTGCAGGTTATAATTAAATCGGTTTATACCGACTGAAACGTTTTTACTTGTTAAATAATAATTTTGCTTATTATCTTATATCTCTTGATAATCAGAATACTTTATGAATAAAATGTTATAAAAACACATTTACTTAATTATGTACATATATTTTATTTGAACATTTATGAAATACCCACAAAATGGTGTTAGAAGTAATACAAAATTAGAAAAAACAGTTAGAACGTTTTTATAATAATTTTACATGTGCTTAGTTATGAACGATTAGAATATATTTTTTTTGAAGATATAACAGTTTATCTATAATGTGATTTATGTATAATTAACTCAACGGGCAGATTTATGAAAAGTATAAAATAATTAAGTTTTTTTTGAAAATCTAAAATTAAAATTTTGTTTCGAATTTTTGAATTTCTAAAAAGTCCAAAAAAAAAAAAAATTAATTTCGCTAGTTTAAATTGGCACATATAAATTGGTTTTTATAATTCTATACATATTTTATGGAACCTTTGTGGAGGTTAACAATTAAGCAGCTACAACATATTTTACAAAATAGAAATTTGTCAACAAAATATAACTTGAAAACAGATTTGATCGTTTCAAAAAATGTAACCGACATCACCGTTTCCGAAAAGACAAAAGAGGATAAGGAGGGTAACAAAGCAAGTAAGGTTTTTCACAATAAAGAAGAAAGTAAGGAAAGTGATAACGAAAGTAAAGCAAGTAACGAGAAGGAAAGCAACGAAAAGCATAAGAATAGTGAAGTCGAGAAAAGTACACATAAAATAGGTATGGCCGAACAGAATCAATTTACCTTCAGAGACTTTGAAGATGCCCTTGAAAAATTTTTCGTAGAGTCAGGAAAAAGTTTTGCTACATGGATTCAAGAATTTGAAGATATTTCGCAAATGTGTAAATGGAATGATATCCAAAAATATCTTTATGTCCGTAAATTATTACAAGGTGCTGCAAAATTAGCTATTGAAGCAAATTCTAACGCTTGTTCTTATAAAACAGTAAAAGATATATTAGCAAATGAATTTGAAAAACCTGCTTCTTGCATAAAAATTCACAGAGCACTCGAGAAAAGTAAAAAGCAAGCTTCTGAAACTTTTCTCAAATATTTGTACGAAATGAAATCTTTAGCACATAAGGCAACAAAAGACGAAGAATCTTTAGTTATGTACATTATAAATGGTATACCAGATAGCAACATCAACAAAACTGTATTGTTTGAAGCCACTAGCTTAGACAAAGTAAAAATAAAATTTAAAGTTTACTCTAACATCAAAAGTGCTTAGCAAAATTATGTTTCGAAAACGAGAACCGATCCAGTTGCAAATACTAGTTCGTTTTTCAATAATGCTAATCAAGCAAAACCAAACCAATCGAATATGAGGTGTAAAAATTGTGGTGCGCTTTCGCACAGTTCTCAAATCTGTCCTAATAAAGAAAAAGGTATTAATTTGGGGCACACATCTTCAAACTGTCCTAAAAAATTCGTATCTACTAACACCACAAGAAATGTTAATCGTATTAAAAACAATAGCAATCATCATATTGAAATAAGTGTAAATGAAATGTCTTTTAAAGCATTTATCGACACCGGAAGAGATGTATCATTAATGCAGAATTCTTAGAAGACTTATTAGGAATATCATCTTTCGAAGAACCTGGAATTATTCTTAGAGGTTTTGGTGACAACACATTACAAACATTGGGATCATTTTTTGTTATAATTGACATCAAATCTGTAAAGCGTAAAATTAAATTTCATGTGGTATCAAATGACTGGATTACAGACAATATAATTTTGGGGAAAAACTTTTTAGAAAATGTTACTTTGGTGTTGGAGAAAGGAAATCTAAAAATTATACAAACCGATCCAGTATAAGATAATTATAATTTCGATTTTGACTGTAACATATTCAACATTAATATAGAAAGTTTAAATATTTCAGATGATTATGATATAACAATCAATTCACAACATGCAAAGTTTAGAAAGATTATCAATGAACAAATAAAATCTTACAAACCAGATGAAGTATCAAAATCCTGTATCGAAATGAAACTTATTCCTCAAGATGAAAATCCAAACCAAAAAGAAAGAAGATTGGCCCCAAAGGAACGAGAAATACTTAGTACAAAATGAAATTAGGAATTGGCTAAATAAAGGAATAATTAAGGAAAGTAATCCCGATTTTACGTCGCTGATTGTTTTAGTGAAGAAAAAAGATGGCAGTAGCAGACTTTGTTTGGATTATCGCAAATTAAATAAAAAAATTATAAAAGATAGATATCCTTTGCCTCTAATAGAAGAACTTTTAGAAAAACGGTACAATGCTTCTATATTCACAACTCTCGACCTAAAAAATGGATTTTTTCATGTTGATATTCACGAAAAAAGCCGAAAATACACGTCATTCATTACTCCAGAGGGACAATTTGAATTTGTGAAAGTTCCTTTCGGACTTTGCAATTCATCTTCAATTTTTCAGCAATTTATCAACACTGTTTTTAAAACTTTAATTCAAGCAAATTTAGTAATCGTATATATAAATGCCCTCATAATTCCAACCAAAAACGAAGAAGAAAACATAGAGATATTTCAAAGCGTACTAAATAAAGCAAAATCAAATGGCCTAATATTTAAATGGGAAAGATGTGTATTGTAAAATAAGCAAATAAAATTTCTTGGGCATGTAATCGAAAACAGTTTTATCAAACCTTCGGAAGAAAAAATTAACACAGTCAAATCATTTCCTGTTCCAAAATCTATTAAAAATGTTCAGAGTTTTCTTGGATTGACGAGTTATTTCCGGAAATTCATTAAAAGTTTTGCAATTATTGCTAAACCATTATCCGAACTTTTGAAAAACTCAGTTTTCGAATTTATGGAAGTACAACTGATATCTTTTCACACATTAAAAGCATTACTTTGTAAAGAACCGGTTTTGAAATTATTTAATCCCGATTTGGACACTGAGCTTCACACGGATGCCAGCTTTGATGGTTACGGCGGTATTTTATTACAAAAGCATAACGCTGATTTTCATCCTGTATTATATTTAAATTTTAAAACTTCTCCGGCACAAAAGAATTAAACTAGCTATGAACACGAAGTCTTGGCCATTGTAGGATGCTTGGAAAAGTTAAGACCATACTTACTACGTTTAAAATTTACAATATACATACACAGATTGCAAGGCTTTTCAAGCCACTATGAATAAAAAGAATATTTGCACCAGGATTGCCAGATGGGCTATAATGATGCAGGAATTTGATTGTACTGTTCTTCATAAATCAGGAACCTCAACGCGACATGTTGACGCGCTAAGCAAATGCTCCGCTGTAATAAAAATTGAATCAGGTATTTTTCAAAGATTAGAAATAGCTCAAAAGAATGATGAATTTTGCAAATTGATATCAACCATTCTTGAAAAGCAACAATATGGCGACTTTTTTATGAAAAATAATATTTTATACAAGTTTTCAAAATGGCTTAAATCTACTGTTAGCTCCTAAATGCTTAGAGAAATACATGATATGCATAATAGAGGACATATTAATAGCAAAGAAGTATCAGCAATTCTAAGTCAGTATTATTATATACAAAAATTAAAGTCAAAGGTAAAATCTTTTATGGACAATTGTATTGCTTGTATTGCTCCAAGTCGAACGGCAAAATGCAACCATAATAGAAATTTTGCGCAAGATGTCAATAGAAAATCCTTTAAAATGGTATTTTCACGTTCCTCAATTTCAAATGGTAAAATTGTTGCATGTCCGTTTGAGCATTTATGCATATTTACACACTGCACGTAAATATGTACATATGTTTGTAGGTAAATAAACATGTTTTTTCAGTTTTCTTGAAAAGAATTTTTTAAAAAATTCAAAATTTTTCTTACACCCACTTAAATCACACATTACTTCACATATTTCTAAAAACATTTATGCCATATGAATTTTATGTATGTATGTATGTATGCACATATTTTGTGCTTAGTACAAATATGCAAAACTTTTTTATATTGAATCAATGGACTTACCCTTGATTCATGTCATGTTCAACTTCATCTAACCATAATCTCATCTGGATCGCGTTTCCTTCTCTACACCAATGAAAAATATCTTCCATAATTCTCCAGAAGACTTTTATTTTACAGAAAAAAAAGTTGTTTAGGTTTACTTTTTGGTCATGGGGGTGTTACATGTGTAATCAATAGAGATGAAAAAATGTTAATTAAAATTGTATAATGAGTGATACATACATCTTTCAGATGGTGGAGATAACTATATTGAACGAAATTTGCTTTACGGCTCCGCACAAGAAAGTAATACAAGCAATCCGTACGCTTTCGTTCCTTTCCAATAATATACTAAATTTGTAGTTTTTGAATTCAATTTTTGTGAACGATTGAATTTATTTCGTAAAACCAGACTTTTATTACTCTTCCTCTTCTTTCATTACTTAAATTTTCATACTACTTTTCGTCTCTCTTTCACATATACATACTAATTTTGTAGTTTTGTAGTTATGAAATTTCTGTCTTCTTTTTTGAATCCAAAATTTTTTTAGGTGAACGTGGATGGATCAGAAATACTAAAGGAGCATCTTGCAAAAACAATGAAGCCCAATGTTTTCAATTTGTCCCTTTCTTTGCTCCGAGCATTGTCAAAGTCATAACATGTGGGTTTTTATTTTCTAATCTAAGGAAGAATAAGTTAAATTTTTTTTAAAGTAAAAACTAAAAGATATTTCAAAATATTTTTTCATTTTAAATATCTGTAAAAAAATAAATTTTTTTTAAATAAATCTATTTTATAAATTGCAAATGACTATAAGGATTTTAATATCACAATATTTCATTAACTTTTAAAATTGACATATTTTGTTAAAAAATTTTTTACATTATCCGTTTTATTTGACAATTTTACCGAACAACTCTAAATAATATTAATAACAATAAATAGAAATACATGCGTATGTATTTTAATGACTGTAGAACAATATAATTTTTAGCAAATATTAATTAATATGCTGATTATTACTCACTGGAATACGAGATGGTATGTTGTCGTGTTCTCCCTCATTATTTAATTGAAAATTCTAAAACCATAAGTATATTTTATAAGTAATTCACACTAATATTATTTTATTTTACTTACTGTATTCAACGACGTCGGTACGTCCTCATATATTTGTTTTTAGACCAAATCTTCACTCTATAAAGAGAAAAATTAACAAAACAATTTTATTATCTGTAAAAAATTTTAATTACCTGAGAAGTAGGTGCAGCATCTGGCGTTACATAAATTTTACCATATAATCTTTTAATATTTTGGTTCAAAATCTTCTGAATATATAGTACTATTTGGTGAAATGTTTGAAATGCAAACTTCTTTATTAATAATTCCAATCCACTTTCCTTTAATTTCATTACTTCTAGTAAAAATGTAATTATATAAAAAAAGCCCAATTTAAAATATTATGTATGCTACATTTTATCAAACACAAACTAATTTTGCTTTTGCGGTTCTATTAAAATTATGTATGTAATTCGAAGTAAATTTAGTATAGAAAACAAAAACAAATGTTTTCTTTCCAACATTAAAACTTGAGAAATTTGCGAATTATAATTAAAATTTGCGAATTGTAATTAAAATTACGAATTAAATTTAACACTATTAAAAAAATATTTCTTTAAATTATTAATATAAATTATATTCACATACATACTGTGGGAAACTTCCATTTGCTCTTTTAAATGAGAACAACAATTTGGAATTATATTCTTCTTTTTCCTTACAAAGTTTTTTCTCCTTTAAAGTTCATTGTTTTTTTAAAGTTCATTTATAATTCACGAAAATTTTACGACCGAAATCATAATTTTTTTTTGTTTACTATTAACACAAGCGGAATGTAATTTTCCAAGGAAAGAGAACAACAACATCTGGCAGTTAATGTTAATTTCAGTTTGATAATGCTCGGATTACTCATTTACTCATTGAGTTTTGAACGATTCATATGAATTTTGAACTAATTAAATTGTATACCAAACTGAAAAACAACTTAAAAATATTGTTTTACCTATTTTTTTCTTTTTTAAATAAACTTCTTTCATCTCCCTTTTATTTTTCTTATATTCTTCTCTCTTCAAAATTTTATATTAAATACATATGTATACGAGAATACAAAAAAGAATCCACTTTTTAATGAACAATGTGGAATAAATATAGCCGATTCAAAAGTTTAAATTGTGAGAAAGAAAGATGAAAAAAGTGGACAGACCCAATAGAAGTACAATTATCTAGACTACCAGTTCAAAATATTTTCCATTCAAAACTAAAAAACAGTTGTTTATGTGAGGTTCTCCTAGAATATATCACATAGATATTCTAGGAGAATCTAGATAGAATTTAAATTATTAAAGCAGTAGTATTGAAATGTCTCGAAAAAATATTATTAGCGCAGTCATGTTTGACAAAAGTCGATTAAATTGTTGGAATTCTTGTGATAGTTGCCATACAATTTCAGATGGTTTTGGTCGTATCATAGAAACTATTCATGCTATGCGACTAAAATTTTACGAAAAGAGATGATAATATAGCAACTATTTTTAGCAAAAATTTCTGAATTTCAGAGCTACGAACGAAATTTATGATAGGGCTGATTAAAATATTTGTATACTTAGTCTATTAATAAGTAAAGTTTTAAAAGGAGAATCAAAATGTATGTGCGACAATAGACAACTTTAAAGATGTTTAAAGGAATTGTAAAAGTGTGAAACAGTATTTTAAAAAATCTTTTATTATTTTTAAATTTATCTTCGTAATTCAAAAAACAACATATATATACATATATACAAATTTCTTGCTAATACAATTAACATTTTTAATATTTTTGAAAAATTGCTTTACTGGTAAACCTAATTTCATGTTTTTTACCCAAAATAAATTTTAATTTTTTCAGAAAATTTTTCTTCGTATTATTCGCAAAAAATTAAACTTAAATACTTTTCACTATTACGAAATCTTAAAAAAAAAATTAAAAAAAAAATTAAATAATAATTTAAAATAGCCTACCATTTGGCTGTATTGAGAACAAGACCCTATGGTAATGCTAAAATTTAATAAAATAATCAACCGATTTCATTGAAATTTAATATTTAAGTTCCTGGTATTCAAACAATGAACATATAAATTTTTTGGGAAGATCAGAGCTCGAAAACTGATCTGCGGGTCGATTTTACATTATTTACCATATCTACGGAAGGAATTGATGGAATTTGATATTTGATATTTGAGTTCTGGTTGTTACCGAAACTAACTGGCGAGCATTTCGGTGAATTCGGGTAGCACAAAGCAAAATTCTACCAAGAGCCAAATTTACATTTTTCTAACTATAACGTATGTTAACTATAAGCTTACTAATGTTCTAAAAATTGGAAAGAAGTATTTAACTGACATTTTTATAATATTCTGTAACACTTTCACTTAACTAGATAATACACATTGCGGTCTCGTACGTGCTGCCATATCAGATTTTTTATTAAGAAATTATGAGAGCAGGTTGTCCATGTATTATTCAACAATGGCTTACATGTACATATAAAAGTTACCATATAACATTTCAAAAATTTTATCGAAAGTAGTGGCCGTATTACTATATTTGCTTATACAAAATTTGAGAGTCTTGCAAATACAGTGTCTTTCATCATACATAAGAGCCGTAATAATATATTTGTTTATGCGAGTTTCTATACTCCTGCTTCAGCAATTTCTCAGATACACACTTATAACTTTCGAATTTGTATGTTACCTCTTAAAATCATAACAATATAAGATAATATTATGACGAATATCATATTATCAATTACAAATTGCTAAAATTCTGCTCCTAATATTCGTTTGCTTGCCACCTTCAAATTCTAAAAATATTCCGTTTTTATTTAAAAGTAGATGGTTATGAGAGTTCATAATCATCAAAAGCATCGAACTGAAATAAAATTATTTAGGTAAAATTTCTGTTATTTTTATTTTATTTTATATTATATGAAAATTGAATTTAAAAGTTTAATTGCGCTTGTTGGGAAAACCAGCCAAAAATATCCCTTTTTTATTAATTAATATGAATACTGCAAAATTTTTCTCTACATTTCAAGATTTCTCAAGCACACTCTAGAAGCTAGTTTAAAAGTTGAAAGCATCTTTGGAAAGGAAGTTCACAGAATCGTGTTAGTCTACCTTATACAAATGATTTTTTTTGCAATGTTTAAGGTGACCTAAAACGCAAGGGATGCCAAATATTATAAAACAAACTGAATATTTATCAGTTTCTTTGAAAAATTTGCAGTATGGCCTAAATTATGTTAAAAATTAAGAATGTAATATAAAAACAATATTCGTTATTTTTCTATTTTTTATACCCTGCACCTTCCTGAAGAGTATATTCACTTTGGTGTGGAGTTTGTAATCACTTGAAGGAGTCGTCTCCGGTATGGACATGTATATATATTCTTGGTCAGCGTAAAATTCTGCGTTGATTTAAATAAGTCAGCCCATCCGTCCGTCCATCTGATCACACGATAATTCAAAAACAAATAATGCAATCGACACCAAACTTTCGCAAATTTTTTCTTTTGTGCCAAGGACGAACCCTATTGTGATTGGACCAATTCGGACAACGAGTTCGGCTAGCTGCCATACAACTCAAAAAGTTTATTTTAAATAATTTATAAACTAATAAAGTTATGAATATGGAATTTTGTATACGTATGTTCAATTATATTCCACAAACGTTCTTAAAATTTTAGTGCGATGGCTATATCGGTTTGGGTGCCTGCATACAAGTCCAAAAGTTAATTTTAAATATTTGGAAAAGTAATTAAGTCAGATTAATTACCTAATATACTAATTTTGAAAATATCAATATTGGCTAATGGACTAAAATAATTCTCAGCCGACGATATGTATATATTCACATATGAATGTAAATGGTACAGTAGATACACAGTATCTGGTAGTGATGAGGAAATAAAGCAATTTATAAAAAAAAAAATGTGTACGTTATGCATACTGTTTAATACTTTATGAAATACAGTTATTACCGATATGTCTGTACATACATATATTTTTATGAAATATGAGTTTTTAATTTATAAAGAAAAGATTAAAATAAAAACAAAAAATCCATAATATATATTTTTACTATTAATTGACAATGTTACGTTATTAA